TCTTTCGATCCGTTAACACCCCGTCTAAGGGTTCCTGAATATATATATATATTAATATTAATAATATAATATATAATATAATATATAATATATATAATATATAATATATATATATATTAATCTTAATATTAATATATATATATATATATTATTAATGTTAATATTATATATATATATAAGATCTTATAAATCAATAAGTATATATATATATAATATTAATATATATTATATATTAATATTATTAATATTATTAATATGAGCCTCCCCGGCTCTCCTCTTTGTTTATGAAATTCGAAATCGTATATGCATCTCTGAATTAGGTTTAAAGCGGGTTAATGTAAATTTAATACTAATAAGGGAAGCACATAGTAATATATCGCCTGTTTTTTTACGTGCTTTAGCATGGCGAGCATATCGAGAATAAAGTACCTCCGAACTTTTCCGGCGCCTTAGTGTTCAAGAAACTGGCCGAAATTCACTTTCGATATGAATTTACTGTGTCGAAGTCAGTCGGTGATATGATACGGTTCAGTGATGACATCACCGTATCCACCCCTTATATGCATCTCCGATTACAGCGCAAAAATGCGATAAGTGTTTTATCTGTCGACTGTATTGATACGTCATCAGTATTATAATAATGGATAGTGCGTATTGCAATTTTAACAAAAACACATAATACCTCGTAAGCAAAAAAAAAACCTACACACTACTACGAATTGTTAATTATCGCGGAAAACCTCCGAAACGGAGGTTCCTACCGAGACATCTGCTATCGAGATATCCTATCGAGATCTCTGCAATTCAGATATTGCTATTTGTCCGTTTCTAAATTCCTATTCGAATTAAGATATACAAACATAATACGATTAAAAAAAAACGCATAATCGCTAATTTTAGAAACAGAAATGGGATTCACTAATATGTTATCATTTACTCTTGTGATACCTACATATTATTCTTATCTTTTGTTATTTATCTAGTGAAACGTAAATTTATATTTAATACATAAAAGCTTACTCAATGAAATATGTAATAAAAACAGAATAGAATACATAAAAACCGATACATGGTAAACACACATACACACAAAGCTAATCGGGAAGAAAGAAAAGTTACAACACGTGTAAATATATGTAATGAATACAAGTGTGCGAAATGGTTAAAAAAGTTACGGTAACGTGTAAATACACATATAATGAGTACAAGTATGCGAAACGCTTTGAAAATTCTCTCGAATTCGCTCGATTTCCGTGTATCAAATTCGGAATCGAATACCGTTATTCACGATCTTAATGCGAATCATGGAAATGATCTACAATGTTTGCGCGACTATTCGCGAGCATACATATCCGAACTATAATGAACTGGTAAATAAATTTAGAAATGGACGAATTGCTAGACATATGAATTATTTAGTGCTATTCCCTATTCAAACTCGAAAAATGCCAAATTGTCTCTTTATGCGATACTTGATAAAATAAAAATTATCGAGTAAGATCCAGCCAATCGATGTCGTATTTTTTTAAACGGCGACGGAACGCCCACGTAATTACCAGGTGTAGCGTCTGTTGGATTTTACTCAATAAAATTTCTACTTTAAGGCTGCCCTGAATACTCGCTACGGTTGTCCTTCTTTGATGATGTCAGAAGCGAGAAAACGCATGCCAAGATTTTTTGCGTTTATACTTCCAAGGAAAAAGATATATCCACAAAATGTCGTGTCTGTGATCGATTCAATACACTTGTAAAATCGGACGGACACTTTTCTTTTACTCGAACAATCAATAAACAGTTGCAAAATTAATTTGACACGGAAGCTTTCCTTCCAATCTCTTTTCTCATGATTTTGTCAATATTAATTTTACGACTTACTTATTAACTGTTTGAGTAAAAGAAAACAATTTGTTCGTCCAATTTTACAAGCTTGCTGAATCGATCACAAATGACACTTTATAGATATGTCTTTTTATTTGAAAGTATAGCGCAAAACATTTTATCATGCGTTTTTCCGCTTCTGACGTCATCAAAGAAAGATAGCCATTGCGAGTATCCAGGAACCTCAATAATCTCAATAATCTCAGAAAAGAAAAGATGATGTAGGGTTTTCTCGACTCGAGCTTTATTAACGTGATGCAGATGTACACAATTTCTACTTTTACTAGCGATTCTTATGTATAATATCTATCATTATTCTTATATGTATATAACATATCTCCAAGTTACAAAATTCATTAAACGCACATATCTTGGATAGCTCCGAGAATTTTACTACAGCTTATATGTACATTTCTTTAGTTGATTAAAACTTTGCGAACTTTTATTTCTTCACGGGTCTTCACGAGCGAAATAAATAGCATTTGAAAATTAATACGATATCTTACATATGTACATTCCTAGAATTCAACAATTATAATACATACGAATGTCCAAACGATTAAATGCAAACGATTTAAAATCATTATTGTAATTTGTGGTCTTATTAATGTTAAGGATTTATTATGAAACCTGATATATGTCTGTACAATATTTAACGAATACACAATATTTTTTGTATATATCTCACGTAGCATTGGATTTCCCTGGGATATCTTCATTTCATCGAAATGTTGATATTTTAATCCAAAAATGACAAGTTGTATATAAGATTACAAAGGGATATTTTTAATTTGAACTAAAAAAATATCGAAACATTTTAATTTCAACCAATTAGTTAATAGAATTGAAGTTGGGTGAAAATTACTCTAATAGCAAATTCGACACTACTGCATTACCGGTGCATCCGGAAGGCTATTATATATGAAGCAGTTATTTAAATAAATATTTAAATAAAAACTATACAAGCATTTTGAATGATTAAACAATGATGTCACTTTATTTGGCAGAATATGCATTAACCCTTATCGGTCGTAAGTCATCTCTCAAGTCGCCTGGAGGAAGAAAAACAACAGTATACTTCTGTGAAACGTGCAACAGAAAATCATTCCTTCATGTTGGAGATTGTTTCAAAAAATATCATACATTAAAAACTTATAAATAATTATTGGAAACTCATATATATTTGTGATACTCCTTCAAAAAATAAATAATTTCTAACAAAAACGTTATTCTTATAATACTGAAAATTTTTCCGCATATTTACCGAAACCAGCTACAACCTAGTGAGAATCACGCATAAAAAGCTAGCGTCCGATAAGGGTTAATTATTTTCAACATTTATTAAATTTCGTCGTCAAAATGCTTATTATGCTATTGTATTTGAGTACTTCATGTGCAGCGCCTTTTGATGTGCACTAAACTTCGATATAGTGCTGATGATCGAATTCGCTATAAGAGTGGGAAGACGGAGGGATGATCCGTCTCTCGTCTTATCTCAGTAAACCTAAGAACATCGTGGAATACCAAGTCCGTTGGTGTTCCCACCGAAAATGCTGACCATCGCAGTTGCAAAAAGAAGGGGGAGACAAGGATAAGCTTATAAATAAGGGCCTCGTCTTCAAGCAGCTTCAGTTGTCAGTAGTAGTTTTTTTCAGTCAGCCAGCTTCAGTTCAGTAATAGTTTTTCCAGTCATCCAGCTTCAGTTCGGTCCATCAGTTCTTGATTCTTAGTTTCTCGAGTCAGTCTCGCGAGTCCTTTCAGTTCAGACTACAGCCAGTTTTTCTCGCGAGTCTGATTCATGCAGCCACGAATTTTCTTAATTCAGCCCTCGTGACTCTTCGAGTTAGTTTTTTTTTTCAAGTTCTACCAGTGCAGCCGTGCTTCATAATTAGTCATTTCAAGTGAACTCAAGCCGGCCGCCGCTCTCTCTTCTTTCCAAGGCGACGTAATTCACGGATTACTATTTCGGATTAGGATTTCGGCAATGAATGTAAGGTAATATTATATTATTATTATTTCGGATTAGCCGACATCGAATGTAAGTTAATATTATATTATTATTATTTCGAGGACCACTATCGCTGAAACAATACTGCCCCGTTGAAAACCTTCATTTCATCTCGTCGTGGCATAGCGAAAATGAAATCCTGTTGCCATCTCGACGCGAAAATTATGGAAATTCTCCAAAACAATAATAAATTGTATTTCTATTTTGTTTTATTTGGTTGTTGTTTTCCTTAATAAGCCTATTGATTCCGCGATTCCACTTCTAAACCACGCGTATAACCTTTCGCAACCTTCCCACCTTCCCTAATTAGCTGCTAAACGTGGCGGAGCCGCTTCCGCCGCGCGTGTCGCGGACTATCCAGGACGTGACTATATGTATTATGTATATACGTAGAGTTGAATATTTAAAAAATAGATAATATTACAATTACATTAAATAATATTACTTTTTAAATATTATTAGGAGTGGACATACAACCATCTATTAATATTCCAGAAATATTACTTAATATTAAATGACATTATTAGAATATTATTAGGATATTACATCGAATATTCTAAGAATATGCCCAGAATATTACTTAATATTAAATAATATTACGCGTTTACCGGGATTGTGTTAAATATTTCTCTGTACATATTATAATTCTGTATACACTCAAGTACCATCTGATGCGTTTTATTAGAATCGTGACAGGAAAGGAAAGTGGGGAGAGAAAGTCGGCGAGAGATAAAGTCTATTTGTTTTAAGAGCTACGCTTTCTTGCATTCTTGCACGCTTCCCGCGTTTGAAGAGAAGTAAATACATATTCAGATTTCCTGAGAAAAGAAAGGGAGAGAAGGAAACGCGCGAAATTTATTCACCTTGAAACTTTTAACGCAATGTGTTATTTTCTCGCACATATCATTAATATCTTTTGCAGAATATTTTTCTCGCGTAACATTTACTTTCCTTCATTGCATTACTCTTGCCGTAGTGATTTTTTCGCTAATAATAGATGCGTAATACGAAGTTCTTCAGTCACGTCGTAATTTGTCGTCGCACGGGACGAGTCGTCACAAAAAGTAACGAGAATAAGATCCCAATTGTCCTACTTTCGGATAAATTTATCTAATAGATAAATATCTGACGAAAAATTCCCGTACGGAAGTAAACTACAAGAATACGAAAAAATTACTAGTATCCCAGTAAGCAAGAAACGTTAAATCAATCTTACGAAATGTTGATTTTGTAAACATTTTGACATCATATCTTATAAATGTTTTTAAACTGTTATTTGATGATTTATTATATTTTTAAATATTAAAATTATGGTATAGAAACGTATTTTTCATACTATGGTCAAGTATTGTCAACAGTAACGTTGATATACATTAAGAACTACATATTTGAAAACGTTACATGTTATAAAATATTGTAATAACCCGGGAAAAAGGATTATATATGAAATTTGCCTATACATGACTACGTACAGGATGAACCACGCAACGTGATCAGCTTGGTTTATTCTGCTGTTAGATCTGCTGTTAAAATCATCTTAAAGCTCACCTTAAACTATGTTATACTAAACAAACAAATTTTCAAGCGATTCTATTAACAATAGAATAAACCAAGCTAGTCACATTGCATGATTCATCCTGTATAATCACGTAATGTCCACAACGGAAAAATACTATTGTTTACAAATTATATGCAAATACAATCGAAATAAATGGCTTCTGTCTACTTGTGCATCAGACAGCACAATGATATCGACGTTTAATTAAACGACATAACATCATTTTTTTCGTATAGACGATATATAATCGTTCATGTAACCACATATATGGGCAAAATTCATATACGACTTCATATAATTACATACAATCATATATAATCATTATTTCCCGGGAACGTTGTGTTAACGATTTCTTGCTTACTGGGATGTCATTGTCCTTCAATAATACCCCTATTGATAAATTAATCCGAAGGTGGAGCAGGCGGCTCCAAGAAAATTTCACATGCGTGCGAGATTAAACGCACACGTGACAAGAGGTCTGTTCGTTTTCGCTACACCGCTGAACTAGTGCAGTAAGTTGAAGTGAGAAAACATATACTCGTCTCGCTTCAACTTATTGCGCTAGATCAGCGGTGGGGCGAAAACGAACAGACCTTAGATAAACGAGAAGTCACGGATGGTGTTGAATCGACCGTAGGAAAAAAAGTTTCCAATTTTCAAAAATGACACCCTGATTTTCTCCTCTTTTCTATTACAGGATGCGCTCGGTGGTCGAAAATTAGCCGCGACTTCGACGTCGGACGTGTACATTTCTCGATATATACGATGTGTAGATTGTTTATTCGTACGGCGACCTGCGCAGTAAGTGCGCGGCCGAGTACAGTCTCGTCGGGCAAAGGGTAGCCTGTGCGGTGGCCGCGCGCTCTGAGGCTCCGATGATTAATGTCACGGTCAACTGTGCTTTCCTGTGTCCGCCTCTCGACGAGTAGTGCTGCGTGCCAGTGCGGGAGATGCACGTGGATTGTTGAGGGATACGTCGCACGCGTCCGATCAACAACAACAACCGACGACGACGACGACGGCGGCGACCAACGTACACGACGCGATTTATTAAGATGGTAGAGCCTATCTTTGACTATCAGTTTCGGCTGATACTGATCGGCGATAGTACGGTCGGGAAGAGCTCTCTCCTCAAGTATTTCACCGACGGCAAATTCGCAGAGGTATGAATTCGCACCGTAACGCACCTTCTTACCCGCTACCACCGTGGATAACCACCGAGTCGTAACAGGCTGCCATTAGACGAGAATGCCTGCGTGTTCTATTTCTGTCTGTTTATACCTGCTTATTTCGTAATCCGACGTGACGCGTTCTCGCGCGTCGTAGAAGATCGACCTCGCGACCCGTGCGAAATTCTCGCCGCAACGTGACATTCGTTTCTTCCAATTGTCGCCCGCCTCGATGCTCCGCGGCTTAATTAGGTTAGGCGAACTCACCCCGATGCACCGTGCGATTTTCACCTATCAGGCTACGCATTTCGCGCGTATTGCTCGATATCAATTTGAACATTGATTTTTCTCTGCCACCCGTTCGTTTCGAGAGGTTTCGAGCATTGAGCGTTTGCATCGCGTCTCTTCCGTTGCATGCATGCGTCTGCATCGCGTTTCTTCTGTTGCATCATGTATGATATATATATATGATATTTGTAAGCGATGTTGCTACTCAAATAAATGGCGCACGTAATAATCTCTCGGAGAGATTGCGAATAATATTGTATGATTCTTTCGAGGCACTTGTTATTTTTAACGTAGCAACGTAGTATTCAAGGGCTGTAATTGTACTTCTGCTCAGGAAGATGAGAAGAGACAAACGTCAGTTTTTTACGTCTGATAAATTTTGTACAACTTCAGCTTTCAGATCCAACGGTTGGCGTGGACTTCTTTGCAAGATTAATCGAAGTTAAGGATGGAACGAGGATAAAGTTACAATTATGGGATACAGCTGGTCAAGAGAGATTTAGGTGCATACATCCTTATGCTTGTGGAATAATATCAGAAAATTTGCGAATTTATTGAGAATTATTTCAGCGCGTGTCGAAATTTATTGTTTATTTACCGGTTTCCTCTTTACAATATCGAATTTTCGGTTTACTTTGTTCTCTCTAAACCTTGCGGACGAAATCATTCTTATTGAATTCCCTTCTCTGTCGCAGGTCAATTACAAAATCTTACTACAGAAACTCGGTCGGAGCGCTCCTCGTTTACGACGTTTGTAACAGAGCGAGTTTCGAACATATTCCCCAATGGATGATGGAAGCCCGCAGACACATCGAACCGCATCGTCCTGTATTCGCCTTGGTAGGCTGTAAGTTGGACTTAGTAACTAATGGCGGCAGACGAGAGGTGTCGAAGGAAGAAGCCAGGGCGTTCGCTGACGAGCATGGTGTACATCATATCGAGACCAGCGCGAAGACCGGTGTAAACGTTGAGGAAGCATTTCGAACGGTTACACAGGAAGTTTACAACAGGATACAAACAGGCGAATACAAAGTAGAGGACGGATGGGACGGCATCAAAACCGGCTTCGCCAGGCCCGGTGGTTTAGATTTTAATCTAGTCGAGGCAGAACCGGCAAAGACTTCGTGTTGTTAAGTTATTGTTTTTAATCTACTAAATAAAACAAACCAGATTTAAGAATGCAGATAGAATAGTTATTTTAGGGGGAAGTAATTGTATATGTTTTAATGAGTCGACAGTAGAGAAAAAGAGATGTGAATCACGTTTATTTACGTATTACGTTTATATGTTATTCCGGCCGTAATGTTATTTATCACTCTGATATAAATCTATTTAATATCTGTGTAGCTATTTCATCGATATTCAACAGCTACATATATTGTAGATACGTTTTTTATCCGAATGATAAATAATTTTCTACTGCATTCTTGTTTTAGGGAAAAAGGCTTACAATTACTATTAAAAATTACGTATACGTCTATAAACTAGACATTTTTGTATATAACTTACATACAATATCAGATGACTAACAAAGTTTACATAGTTTTTCAGAGTATAGTCGAATATTGAATGTAATTAAAAGTAAAAGGATTAACAATGATGTATTTTCTTGATAAATAAGCATCCTCGAAAACAAATGACTGAGTTATGGGTTGAAAAATATTATATTTGTGGAATTTTTAATTTCCATTTTTATATTAATATTAATATTTCCGACATAAATAACTAAACGATCATTAGTTTAAGATTAAAAAAGCGGATGCGCATTTTTTTAGAATTCGAAGACAAAATAATCATCTTCGATATACGCTGGTTACTTAAAACTTACCAAATTGTACGTGCGATTATCGAATTGCCGATAGAAACAACAGCATATCGAGTTAAAAGCCATTATCGTTTATGAAGAAGTAGAATCAAGTTCTTTCATCAAATGCCACGAATCTCTGTATGAAGAACAAGATTGTGTTAGCCGCTCCTGCTCTCTACGCAGATTACAAATTTTGATCTCTTTCGAGATGGCGTACATATTCTGCCCAATGTTCGAATAGAACTATTGTGCCAAGTTTATACAATTAAAGTTAAACACGTTGAAACCGATATCAATTGGAATAGCCATTCAGTCTTTTATTTAGTAATATCTGCGGAGTATCACGTGTATGTGTTATCGTAAAAGCCCGAAATGTCAGCAAACCTGAGATTAGGTCTGTTCGTTTTCGCTGCACCGCTGAACTAGTGCAATAAGTTGAAGTGAGAAAACATATACTTGTCTCGCTTCAATTTATTGCATTAGTTCAGCGGTGCAGCGAAAACGAACAAGACCTATTGTGACTCAAAGAATGTGCACATTGCCTAATCATATTCGGTAAAGTCAAAAATTATTCATAATTTCGAGCTTTTCTCCGGAGTATATTTATGATTTGCTTAATGGCACACACACACAAAGAAAATCCTGAGATTACACGTAACTTCTGACTTTACCGAAATAAACAACTGTATTTTTTAAGCGATATATTAGATTTATCAACACATTGGACTCTGACGATAACCCATTTACAGAATTTTTACCAATGCGTTAACTCTGTAAACTATGAACTTTGTTGGTCTTTGATATGTTAACAATATAATACTGCAACATATATAAGAGTTGAATTAGGATTGTTTTTGTATGAGAAATATTGTATAAAACACTTCATATATATCTCTTTCCATGAAGCATTTTCACAATCGGGCTTTAATGTATTTTGTTAAACGGACTCACAATGTTATTGAATGAAGGATAACGGCTGTGCTAAATATTTTGTTGAATTCACTTTTTTTGTGTAATAATAAAAATTTATTTCTCCAATATAAGGGATTTATCATTTATATAATATACATTAATATTATGTATGAAGTAAATTTGAAGTTAGGTAAAATGCAAAATTATAAATATATAAAAAACAGTTGATAAAATATATTTCTTACTGCTTCTTCACATAATATTAATGTAT